AGGATTGATAAACTGTGGCATGTGTATGTAGTGGAATACCATGTAGAGGTAAAAATAAACAAGTTACCACAACATACTACAACATAGATGACTCTTTACTCAAACATAACAATTGGGTAAAGAAACCAGACATAAAGAACATATACTGAGCTTGGAACAGTGGCTCAAGCCTATAATCTGAACTTTTAGGAGACAGAGATTAAGGGACCATGGTTTGAGAATAATTCATAAAAAAAAAATAAGTTCATGAGACTCTAAAGCAGAAATCTGGGAGGGGAACTCAAATACATTTTTGGTAGGAATGAAAGCTTGCTCAACCACTCTGGAAAGCGGTATGGGGGTTTCTCAAAAAATTGAACATAGGGCCTGGAAGGTGGCTCACTAGAGTGCTTGCCTTGCATGCATGAGACCTTGGGTTCGATTCCTCAATACCACATAAACAGAAAAAAAAAAAAAACGGAAGTGCGCTATGGCTCAAGTCATAGAGTGCTAGCCTTGAGCTGAAGAGCTGAAGAGCTTAAGAGCTGAGGGACAGCACCCAGGCCCAGAATTCAGGCCCTACTACTGACCAAAAAAAAACTAAAGATAGAGCTACTCTGCGACCTAGAAATTCCACTCCTGGGCATTTATCCAATAGGGCACAAACAAGACTACATGGATGAATGGATCCCAAAAATGTGGTATTATATACACAGTGGAATTCTACCCATCTATCAGAGAATGATATTGTACCACTCATAAGGAAATGGAAGACTTGGAAAAAAATTATATTAAAGGGAAGTAAGCTAGACCCAGAGAAATTCACATTGCATGATTACTCTGATTTGTGGTAGGGAGAAATCTACAAATAAAGTATGCAAGTGGTTATATATGAATTGCCTGAAGTAGAATAGACTTTATGGAAAATGCAAATACTTTAATTCTTCAGTAAGTCAAACTCAAAAGGCCAACAAAATAAGTACTAGGAAGTGGTTATTTGTAAGGGATGCGGCAAGGAAAGAGGGCTTGAAGAATGAACAGGGAAAGGGACTATAGAATGCAGGCAAGAACACATTTTACATACCACAGAACTGAACAAAATAAAGGAAGGGTTAAGGTGTTAAAGGGATTACACACATCAAGATGCACTGGATACGTGAATTGCTTTGTTAAATGGTAAAAAAAAAATCAATACATAACCTAAAAATGAAGAAAAGTGAGGGACAAGATGGGTTGGGAGGGGTGAGTGAGCCTGTTAAAGGGGGTGACATTGTTCCAGAGGCACTGTATGTATAAATTGTTTTGTTGAATGTAGCTCCCTTGTACACTACTTAAAGATAATAAAAATATTCAAAAGAATATAGCCAAGCTGAAGCTGAATTTTGAGATGCTTTCTTTACAAAGCATTTTGCCCCCTTTAAAGAAGAAAATAAACAAAAGATAAAGAGGAAGGTTTGAAGGAACGAGGAAAATGCAAAAGAGAAAAGGAAAGGAGAAAGAGGAAAATAAAAAAGAAAAGATCTAATTTTCCCAATTTAATCTCAAGATTCTTATTCAATGACTAGCTTTTGGGACTGGGATACAGGAAGTGCTTAGTGGGCTCAAGGTTCTACTACAATCACTACTACTAATAATAATTAATTAAAAATAACAATAGCTTTGCACAAGACAATGGAGCACAGTCAAAATAATATAATATCTGTCAACTTATCTTTCTTGGTCACATGTGGCAGTCTGTCAGGCCAACCGTTATCAGTACTCTGTCCTACTTTTTTATCTTTCCACCTGTGTTCATCTTAGAAGATATGACAACAAAGGCTTAACTCTCTACATCCTACTTACTTCCAGGGAAGAGACTGGTAGAAGAATCATTCTGCTTTAGTGACAAAGGTTGCAAGAGATACCATAAAAATTCTGAGTTGGATGCAGATGGTTCACACCTATCATCATGGCTACTTAGTGGGGGCTCTCATCTGAAGCACTCAAGTCAAAACCAATCCAGGCAGGAAAATCCTTGAGATTCTTATCTCTATTTAAACACACCAAAAAAACCCAGAAGTGGAGTTGTGGCTTAGAGGGTAGAGAACCAGACTGCTGTTAAAAAAATAAAATAAAATAAAAAATAAGAGACAGCATCTTCACCCTGGGTTGAAACCCCAGCACTGGTAAATACACACATGCAAACACACACATCTGAGTAGGAAACACAATTGGGACAGGACATTTATTTATTATTAATCTTATCTACCATTTGAACTATGATCTTATCCCTCCAACACTTCTGGAAATGGGAAATAGTGGATCTCCTTACATGATTCCATGCCCACAGAAGCATTATAATCACCTCTTCTGGAAACAAACCCCAACCAAGGTAGTGTAGAACCAAGAGATGAGGTTCTGGTAATAGGCACTGCTTCAGTCTTTTCATTTTTGTGAATTGATTTGTTGTATTTGTATTTGTATGTGGTCTTTTCTGAGGGGCAAAATTGAGATCATTATACTCAAAGACAGTCACACAACAAATCAAAGAAAAATATACACTTATTTGAACATAGCTTTAGTTTTACATGATACATGACCCAAAGCCCAGGATAGATAATCCATTTTACATTGAGTAGAGAAACCCAGCAAGACATGTCTAGATTCTTCTAGTCTCTCAGAACAATATCTTTTGGCCCAGATATGGGAGAATCTCTTCTGAAAGAGGGTCTTATGATCTACTATCAGACAAAACAGGTTAGAAAATTTCTTTATGGTTATCCCCAAAGCAGAAAATATGGAACAGATAGGCCATATTTTTAAGCTTAATGGCTTGCATCGAAGAAAAGAGGTTTCAGTCATTATAACCCATTTAATGGAACCAGAATACTAGCTTTCTTGATTATTATTTAGGAGGAGACAGGGAACAGGAGACAGTGGGCAGGAAATGTTAAGAGAGGAACTTTCCTTCTAAGCTCTTAGCTTTAGAGTATGATTTTCTGAGCCCCAACAATGGAAAACCACCATGGTGGGTTTTGAAAGACACAACAACTTGTAAATGATTGACATTTCCCAACAAATCTGGTAGTGCAGTGCTGTTTACTTATAATAAAAGAAAAACAAAACAGACCTATGATGATCGGTACACTGAAAGAATAAAAATAAAAATTAGATAGAAGGTGCCATAGCAATCAGGATGCATTGTGTTTATAAACTGAAGTATTGAATGGTAACGTCTTTGTACTACTCCTTAAAGATAATAAAAATAGGCTGGAAGCCAAGGCTCATGCCTGTAATCCTAGCTACTCAGAAAACTGAGATCTGAGGATCAAGGTTCAAAGCCAGCTGGGGCAGGAAAGTACATAAGACTCCTATCTCCAATTAACCACCAGAAAACCAGAATTGGCACTGTGGCTCAAGTGGTAGAGTGCTAGCCTTGAGCTGAAGAGCTAAAGGACAGAACCCAGGCCCAGATTTCAAGCTCCATGACCAAAAAAAAAAGATAATAAAAATATAATTTAAAATGAATTTTTTTAACAAATGAAAAGAAAATCTGGCACCAGTGGCTCATGCTTGTAATCCTAGCTACTAAGGGGGCTAAGATCTGAGGATCATGGTTCAAAGCCAGCCCAGGCAGAAAAGTCTGTGGAACTCATCTCTAATTAACTACCAGAAAACCAGAAGTACTGCTGTGGCTCAAGTGTTAGAGTGCTAGTCTTGAACCGAAGAGCTCAGGGACAGTACCCAGGTCCAGAGTTCAAGCCCCACAACCGACAAATATACATATAATAGATAGATAGATAGATAGATAGATAGATAGATAGATAGATAGATAGATAGATAGATAGATAGATAGATAGATAGATAATAAAAATTATTGCATAAACAAGAAGTGTCTGGCAACTGGGACACAGGGCAGACCATCTCCTTCCCAACTCCTGTGTCAGGAATAATCCCAAGCGAAAGTTATTCTTTCCTCTCACCCCAATAGACACTCAAGATATTTTTTATAGCAAAAATATTTTATTTTCTTTCACAGACCTAAAGACATAAAATGTTTAAGTGGCTCCTTTTAGGCCATGTAACAAACAATAAAGCATTCATGATCATCAGTCAATATTCTGTCTTTCATACTTCTAACTCACTAGAATTGTTGACAAATTAGAACCTCTCGTTCCATCACTGATTTTACATGATTGTTTGTGCTTCATATGTTTCTATGTTAATTGTGAAATTATTATTTTTAATCAGTTCTTATTAGGGTAAACATTGACCATTTAACAACTCTTAAGTGTACAGTCCAGAGGCTCTAAGGTACATTAGTATAGCTATGTAACAAATCAATGTCTTAACTTGTTTTTTCTTCTGCTCTAACTGAAGCTCTGTATCCATTAAACAATAATTCTTCTCATTTCTTTTTCTTTCTGGCCTCTGGCAATCACTTCTGAATATTATTACAGAGCACAAAGAAATCTTGACTTTTGAGATCAATTTACAACCAAAAGAATATAATTACCTTTAAAAAGGAGGGAAAGGGGGATAAGTTGAAACTGGCTGTACAATACTTAGAAATCTCCGTGATTGCGCTCTGTGTGTGTGTGTGTGTGTGTGTGTGTGTGTGTGTGTGTGTGTGTGTGTGTGTGTCTTTAAATGACTCTCCACCTCCCAGCCTGCCTCCTGAAAATTTGCCACTGGGTTGTGGGTTTTTTTTTCTCTCTCTCTCTCTTCTTTTTCTTTCTTCACACTCTGAGAGGAGTTTGCATGCCAGATTTCCTTCCCAGGTTTAGAAGCAGATTTGTTGCCATGGAATCTACATTCTGGCTGGTGTTGAGGAGTATAAAGGTGATTTAAAGGCCTGATGAAAAGATAGGCTGTTGATCTTCTTCTGGAAAAGCCTGATGGGTAGGATTCCTTTAAGGGCTCAGCCCCAAAGTGTTAAATCCCATCCCATCAGCTACTTAACAAACTGAAACGTTGGGCTCCCAGAGACATCTGAAGGAAAGCTCACCTCAAAAACTCACCACTCCATCCACTTCCCACAGATGGCTAATCCTGGAGGGGGTGCTGTTTGCAATGGGACTGTTCTCAATCACAAGAAACAGAGCAATGGCTCTCAACGTGGAAACTGCAGGAAGAATGGCATAGTAAAAGAAGCCCAGGTAAGAGGCAATCTCCTCCATCCTTATTCTGCATGCCTCAAATGCCTCAGTATTTCCTACTAGTGCTCTTTGAGGCAGTCCCCCCTCAAAGTTCCCCTCACAAAGTAGTTTTATGTGTTTTGACTCCTGGCTTCACCTGGTATTTTAACTGGCTACTAAAGAGTATGAATTAAAGGAGAAAATGTCTTCTGTGTGCAAGGGCGGACACACAGCCTTTAATTCTGTAAAACTCAAACTTATCTATTATATCTGCATTTCCTTCCAAGCATTTTGGGGTAGGCTTGTGATGGCTCAAGCTTTCCAGCTAGACTTCAGTCCATTATAGGACTTGCTATATTCATAGCGTGTTAGACAAAGAAGTCACAGTAAAGTTGCTGTAATTATGTGTGTGTGTGGCAATCTCTCTGGCATATGCAAAATGTCTCTGGCTAAAGGCGAGTTCTTTTTGGGGCTCAATAAATGGTTGTCATCAGTCTCAACCTGGCTCAAAAATAGCAACTTGACATCACGGACATTCCTTTCCAAAGGACGCTTCAGAAAGTAGAGTTGACTGTCACCACAGTGTGTGCAGAAATCAACTTGGCATGTTTAAAACAGACTGCTAAGTTTTTCCCACAATTCCCCCACTCTTTTCTCCTGATTTTACTCCTGCCCTAGCAGAATGTGGCTCTGAGGAGAAGGAACTCCAGACATTATTCAAGAAAGCAGCCTGGGTCTGTCAGCATTCTTGTATAAAGGCAGTTTAGCTACTTCCCACATAATGTATGAGGGCAGGTCTCTGAGCCGCAGGGATTGAGCAAACTTTGCTTCCCTTGATCAGCCAGACAGGTAACCTTGCTGTTGGGAAATGAGAGGCCAAACCATGCAAGGGAGTTCTATGCAATCTACTTTCATCCAGTCATCAGCCATTCAGAATCCACCCAGATAAAAGACCAGATTGTTCTAAGATCACAGGATAGGTGGGTCTGCCTGGGACCGTCTTCTACTCAGTGAACTAAATTCATGGGTCCAATTGGAGGAGGCAGAAGGTATTCTGAATGCTGACTTACATGTAAAAAAATGTTCTAATAAAAAATCACCTTTTGATTTTATAAAATAAATAAATAAAATAAAAATAAAATAAAAAAAGATGTGGTTCCCCAAAATATATTCTCTTACCAAAGGTCATTAGCAAGAATCTCTAAAATACCTTGGGCCCATCCTCTCTTATCTGAGTACCTGAAACCTACAGCAGATGAAGAGAAATTTCAACTCCTTCTATTTGGCCAGACATCATTAATTCATCAAGAATTCACTCAAACCACTGCCCAAGATGCCCAAGATTCTCACCCCCTGAGAGACCTGTACAGCACTGGATACTCACCTATTTGCTTTCTGGATCATTATAACTTTTCTAGGTTCTCATCTATGCCTTCAAAACTTATCTCTTTCTGTGTTTTTTTTTAACTACTGGAGTATGAACACAGAACTAGCATCTGCTAGCCAGATGCCCCCTTGACTTGAACCACATCTCCACCCCTGATTATTTTCAATATAGGTTTTTGCTCTCTTCTCTGAATGGACTAGGCCTGTATCACCTATTTACACATCCTACCATAGCCAGGGTGAACACCACCATGCACTGCTTTTCTTTTGAGATGAGGTCTCAAGAACTTATTTTTTGCCTATACTGTCCTGGAAACCTGATCTTTCTAAGACTCAGGCTGCTAAGTAACTAGCATTAGAGAGATGTACCACCACACAGAGCGATTAGTTGGGATGGGATCTTATGAATGTTTGTTTTTTTTTCTTTTTAAATAAGTTTTTTATTGTGAAAATACCATACAGAGGGTTTACAATCACATGAGCAAGGTAATGAGTACATTTCTTATCAAGCATTGTTGCCTCTTCCTTTATTTTCCCCCTACCATCCCTTCCCTCTGATTTCTTAAGCTGGCCTTGAACTATCACTCTCCATTTATCCACCTCCTAAGTAACTAGGATTACAGGCATGAGCTACTAACTTTCGGCTACAATGTCTCCCTTCTGTATTTTATCTTACTTTTTATAACTACATTGAGATACACTTCAATCATTCTTATATAAGAACAAAAAGCATTGATGTTTCCCTGAGCTGCTAAAGATGTCAAGGCTGCTATGTTTTCTTAGTTTTTGTTTTGTTTTTGAAGAGCCATCCAAACATATTGACTAAGATACATTTTAGTGTGACTAAGTTGAAACTGACTTCTATGGAGAGCCTCAATTATGGCTTAAAAATATTTTCCAGAAAGAATAAACCCTGCTGAAAACACAGTAGAATATTGCAAACAAGGTCCTCTTCTCTTCTCAAACCATGATTGGAAGGAAGGCATCTTCTCTATTACAACCTTAGGCTTAACTTTTATCCTGTGGAACCCTCAACACACTAGGTCTTGACCCTAACTCTTCTCTGTCCACAAAAGCAGCCCATGAAAGCTTACTATTATCTCAGACCAGTATGCATCCAAATATTTTCTAGTAACCCTAAAGCCCTCTAGCAGCATAGTATCTTAAACTTGTCCAGCTGCTCTGAGGGCCCTTGCAGTAGCTATTCAGAAATACAATCATCTATTTTTAAATTTGAGGGCCCTTTTGGTTCTGTTGATAACGTGTTTCTCATCATAACAAACCAAATGAAAATCACTGTTACATAATTTTGGGGGGAACTCTCTTTCCTTATTCTACTGTAGCTTTGTTTGAACATTTTAGCATGTGTTCTAGCACCAACTTCAAGGCTGGCAAAAAGCCACACCTTTTTATTCTCTGTACCTTCTATACTCTCTAGGGCGTTTGGGGGAGCTTGATCACATTTCCTGTGGTTTTATTTTCTGTAAATCTTATTGGCCCTGAGTATGCTCTGAAATGAGCTTTCATCACTGGTTAAATCCATTGCTTAATTCTAACTTGACATCCTTCCTTTGACTGCTGGTAGGGCACTGTTGTATGAGAGGATTCATTGTTCTTCTCTAAACATGCCTCCAGAGAAGACAGAAGGGATTTTAATATCCTCAATCCATTAAGCAAGACATTACTTACCATTTCTTATTGCCTTGCTTAGTTTCATATTATTAATTTGTAATTGTTAACAAAGTAATTGCTTTTTAACTCAGACTGATTACATAATTCTGACCTGTTAATAAGCTTTTCCCCAAACTTGGGAAGTAGATATTATCTTTCATTGCTGTTGATAGACCATGCCTTTAGAGGCAGATTTTTACCAGGATGGGAGGGGGTCTACATTTTCCTTTACTAAACTGACTCTACAGCATGAAGAAGAATGTGTCAATTATTCCCTAATAATTCTTTTTTATATATTTTTTTTAATTTTTAACTTTTTAATATGTGTTTTTACTGTAAAAATACTGTACAGAGGAGTTACAGTTACATGAGTAGGGTAATGAGTACATTTCCTATCGAGCATTGTTACCTCCTCCTTTGTTTTTTCCCTTATCATTCCCTAATAATTCTAATAATTTTCCTGAGCATAAAATTGCCATGAGGCAAAAGGAATTCTAATTTAGTATTTTTGGAGTTTTTTACTTGAATGTTGTACCATTCCCAGCCATATGGTAGCAGGTCCTATGAGCAAATTACTTCTCATATCATCCACCACTCATTCACAAATACATGTTAATAATCTGTTATCACTGGGATTTATAATGATAAATACAGAGTTAAAATTTGAGCTGTTAGTAGCTGAGTGCTAGTGGCTTATGCCTGTAATCCTACTACTCAAAGGCAAGATAAAGGATCAAGTTGAACAGTTGAAGATACTCTTATTTCCAATTAACCAGCAAAATGCTGAAAGTGAGTTGTAGTTCAAGTGGTACAGTGCCTTGAGCTAAAAAGCCAAGGGAGAGTGAGAGGCTTTGAGTTCAAGTCCAAGTATTTGCGCAAAAAATATTAGCTACTAGTAGAAAATGTATTTTTAAGCAAAAATGTTGAGATAAAATGATAATGGAAGAACAAGAGTGGTCATAAAGCAGATAAAATTTGAAGATAAGTAAGTTGCAGAGTTCAGAGGGCTATGAAAAGCCAACACGCATTAAGGTCCTGCAGTGGACCAGGCCCAAGCTAAGCATGTTCTGTCTGAAAGTCTCCTGTATCTTCATCACCACCCCACGAAGTGTCCATCATGGAAATGACGGAACCAAGTCATTAATGAACCTGTGCAGAGCCACAGGTAGCATAGCCAGGATTTGAACCCTAATCTATTTCCTTCTAGAGACACAGGGGATGATAGATTGGGGTGACCGTAAACATTTTAAAACACTGTGAATGACCAAGAAAATGGGGATTTGTTTTTCTGGGCCAGATAAGTAAAAAAGAAGGAAAAGGAACCTCAGAGATGAATGCAGATTCACTCGGTAACAGGTATGGGCACATTCATGAAGCACTCTACAAAGGAGAGGAAGAGCTATAAAATACACAGCACATAGACTTGAGAAACTTTTCATAGTTCAGTGAGAGACAAAGAAAGGAGAACTGTGGCCTAGATGAAGGGGGAAAACTCAATCAGTTTATTATGGAAATCCTTTGTACTTCTAGAAAGTGAAGCCTCCTGTTCTCTCCTTTTTTCCATGTCCTCTGGAGGGCTGTCATACTCTCCTCTTGTGGCATACATTTCTTCTAGAGTAAGAACTGTGACTCATAGTCTTCTTGCCCATAATGACAGCTGCCAGATAAGCCTTATAAGTCCTGGCACCTGTGGGCTCCTGTATGCTTCAACTTGCTGAAAGAGTCTCAACAATTACTAGGAGAATTCAGAAACTAATGTTCTGGAGATGCCCTGAGTTTGCATCCTACGCTTGCCTTGACTATTATTCTCCTAATACCTTTGGTATTATTCTCCTAATACCCTTTGGATTCCTTAAAGCAATTCTCAATATGAAAAGACTTCTCTGGTTTCTTTCCCTGAGCCACTGTTTTTCATGGGTTCATTATTACCAATTATATCTGTGAGCCAGATCTATAGCCAAGGA